AGCATCACTTGTCCTGTCAACTGTCAAAAAAAAATAGTTATTAATATTGTCAACGATGATTAAATCAAGTAGGCTTTGGATGAATGTCGGTATTACAGGTTGCGTACAAAATTTTATTCAAAACTTGCAAATTTTGATTATTCCCGGCTCTTGTTGTCACATGACGTACGACATTTCATTTTATTCGATTGGCCAGTGAACTCAAACAAGTGAGATAGCGATATTGTAGGCGGAATGATTAAACAAACGTCAATTGCCAGTGAGAGTTTTGGGACCAAAATCCTATTTAAAATGATGATATTTTCAAATCTTTCGAGATTATTTCTATCATGCGGCAACGTCGCTTGTTTAATTAAGCAGGCCTTTGAATAACATTGGGGTCGGTAATACAGAACTCTGTAATACTTTTGCACTGCTAAAAGGACTGACAATATTGGGTCGGTAATACAGGAGAAGTAATATTTTGAGGTAACCTACAACATTTTATCTATATCTAACCAATCGTCCATGTGGTCACCAATATTAAAAAGTAGGCGATTGATTTCCAGATTGAAATTATAACTTTGACAGTTGCAGTAGATGACAAAATGACATTTGACATATCGTTCATCTGTCTAAATTATAACTAACGAATGACGTCAATTCGACTAAACGAATAAGTGACCATTTTGGTACGACGTCACGCTGGAGGGCAACCAATCATTTTGTTGTCAAATTTAAAGCGAAAAATGCCAAAATAATGTCATTATTTTTTTTGGTTATAAATTAATGTTTGCCCTCCAGAGCAAATTGTCATTAGTCATTTATACTGAAATAGGTCAAGAATAACAGACACTTTAAGGTGAATTCTAACGATATCGAGTGACATCTATCATTGAATGACATGTGACATAGTGACGCCAAAAGTGGCAATAATAAACAATAACTTTGACAGTTGACATCTGGTCATATGTCGTACTAATAAATGTGACAAGTGACATTGACGATTAAAAAACGAAATACTTTGCACTATTTCCTGTCATTTTACAAGTTGATTTAAATTATTTAGCGAATTCTATTGTGTGTCTTTTCTATCAACTTGTATAAAATAGAGATAGAAATACATTTTTTTTTACATTAAAATAATTGATGTAATTATTGGCAACATTGCATTAGTTTGTAAATCACTTTTGACAGTTGTTTAATTGACAATTGACAAAAAAAAAAAATCAATTTGGTGTTAAACAATCAAACTTATAATCGTTGTTTGATCAGTCTTGACAGCTGTCACTATTTTGACAAGTTTGTCAAATGTCGTTATATATCAAAGTCGAAATGCTGCGTTGCAAAACTGTTTTTTTTCTCCATTTTCAATAGTCCATTTTCATTAAAATTGGAAAAGAATTGATGTACTTAATTATTGGCAACATGGTATTTTCTATAAATACATATAAGGGTTTTTGTCTGGTAATACGCACGAATGTTTATAAAACCCTCACTCTTCGGGTTCGGAATTAAAAAGAAAACCCCGGCCCGAAGGGCCGGAGTTATATGCGAGCCCGAAAAGCTGGAGTTATACAAACCCGACAGGCCGAAGTTATTTTAATCATGAGGCCGAAGGTCCGAGGTTATACGAGCTTGAAGGGTCGGAATTATACGAACCCGTTTATTGTCAACTGATTTTAATACTTTGGCTCTTCGGATCGTAATTTTTGAAACAAAAAGACGCCATTTTATATCGACTGTCAAAAAAAACCAAGGCCTACTTTGATATTTCAATTTTTTGACGTTTGTTGTATCATGAGCAGCGTTGCCATATGTTTTTATCAAATTTCGATTTATAGGTTATCATTGATATTTCTGAAAAATATTTCCTTTAAAATTCCCAAATATTCTTTGCAATTCCCAAAAAATCTATTAAAATCTCAGAATTCCACAATTTAATGGAATTTCAGTAGAATAATTATGTTATTCTGAAAAAGGAATAAGATGTGAAATTTTCATAGAATTTACATTAAATTTTAATTCCTCTCGAATTACTTGAAATTTCAGTGAAATTCCGATCGAATTACACGAAATCCTAAATGAATTACATGGAGGAATTTTAAACAATTACATGAAATTACACTGAAATTCTCAATATGAAATTTCAGTTTTTACTGAATTTTAGTAATGCCGAGGAATTTCCAGCTAAAAACATGGACTTTTGGTGATATTTTGAAAAATTCCCACGTAATGACATGAAATTTTAATATATTTCGATGAATTTTTAAGAAATTACTTGAAATTTCATTAATATTCCCAGAAATTCCTGGCTATTAAAAGAGTATTTCAGTGAAATTCTTATGAAAATAAATTAAATTTTGAAAATTCCTTGAAGTTTCATTGGATTATCGGGAAATTTTCGGTTCTGAACGTGGATATTCTTATAAAATTTTAGTGAATTGCGAGACATTTTTAAGAAATTACATGAAATTCCAAAGAATTTTATGAAAATTTTGTGGAATTTCAGTGGTAAAATTTTGAGGAATTTTAGTAAAGTTAAAAAAACAAAATATGGAATTTTGAAATTGAAATCTTAATGGAATTCCTTTATGAAATCCTATACTGCAATTAGCCTCCTCACTTGAAATAGTCACGAGCCGCCACTGCGGAAGAGATAATGCATGCAGCATGCAGAGGGCGCCCACGACGCCCACAGTGCTCAGTTTGGTCGGATCAAAGCTCGACTCGAAGCTAATCTCTGGCTAACGAATGTGGTGCGTTACGTCATCCATACTTGAATTTATCACAGACCTTTTGCACGCGCACTGTGTTTGACATAATTTATATGATAACTATCGATATTCGTATTGTTGATGGTTGACAAAGAGAGATGTAACACAAAGCAATAGTATATTACAATCCGAGACGGGAAATTAGCTATTACTGTCGAGAGATTTTGGTGGTTTTCGTTTCACGTTTTCGTTGGATAATACGAATGGACATTGACGGTTATGATTATCTATCATAGTATACAGTCCATAGTAGATTATACCACGAGTCAATAATTATAGCTATTATTCCCGCGGAATATTTACGAACTGCGCCGCATTAGCGGCGAGGGACTAACATTCCGAGGGAATAATAGCCATTATTGCGAGTAGAGCCGTAAATAAATGTATTTTCTCGATTTTGGTGTGAGAATGTCTTTATTCACGCACGCAAAATCGTTGAAGAATGAAGCTCATTCTTTAACGATTTTTAGTAACATTTAGTTTCACAGTATACCTATTGGTCCAAGAGCCGGCAATACTTACGGGTATGTGATCGTTGCAATGGATAATTTCTACATAAAACAATAGTTCATAGTAACCTTTAAACCAAATGGATGGGTTGCCTCGATTCTCATGGCCGTAAAGTTGTTTTATAAAAAGATACTTCAAGAACCATAAGCGCAACAAATAAGAAGTACCTTGCGGTGTAGGGGGTTCTCATCATATGCGGCAAACACTTTATTAACACAATTTCATGTTTCTTTATTTGTCTGTAGTCTATTTTTTTGAAAGCTGGTATAATCAAACTGTCACCTCATCGTTTATTGCAGGTGGTTCATTCACCCTTCAAAGGATTTAGGGGATTAAATGGGATTAAAATTGGTTCAGTATGATTGAATATACCAGCTTTCAAAAAAATAGATTATAAAGACCTACAGCCGTATGCAAAATCCTCGAAAAAAGAGGGGTAGTTTACGGCCAGCCATCAAAGGGTTGCGGCCATGAGAATCAGGGCAACCCATCCATTTAGTTTAAAGGTAACTATGAGCTATTCTTTCATGTGAAAATTATCCATTGCAACGATTACATGCCCGTTAATATTGCCGGATCTCCTACTATATTGGTACCTTTTAAATTGTCAATCCTTCTGGAATGATAGAATCCACCTGTCAGTTGGTTGGTAGGTGAGTGTCACCAACTGACAAATTTTGTTAAAAAAAAATCCCCAACCGAGTCCCCAAGTAACAGCGACCACAAAATTTAAAAAAAAAAAATGGAAAATACAATCCAAAATCGATAATAGTTATTTATACACCAAATGAGTTAAATGAATGTTTATTCATGAGAAGAAAGTTTAACCCACGAGCCTTAGCGAGTGGGTTAATTTTCTTCGAATGAATAAACATGTTAACTCACGTGATGTATACAAAATTTTATCCTATTTTGACGGATATTTAAATTAATAGGAATCAAATTATAAAAAGAATTCATTAAGCAGCATATGAAAACGTCTAAATATTGAAATTGGTGGTTGCTAGGGTATAACTAGTTGTTTGTTTGTATTTGTAGCAGATTCTATACTGGTAGAGTGACTTAAAAGACCGAGAGTGAGTTAAAAATATTTTAAATCACTGAGGTGATAAACGTCTACTTACCTTTGTTATTATGCGTTCAATAATGTCATTTTTAAACGTCAAAATTGGATAAAATAATATAGAACTCACGTTGCACAAGGCTATTCTCGCACTCATTCGTTCGTCTACTCGCTCCTTCATCGCTCGTGTCCAAATTTCGAATTCCTACGAGAATATGTGTCCTTCTGCAACTTGTATTTTAATATACTATTTTATGATACTTCAAAGAGCAAGCATGTAAATTATTATTGATTCGTGCGAAAAATTTGTAATTACAAGGAATATTGTTAATAGGTATATATTTATATTATCTTCGTATTTACTACGTAGATACCTCGGTAGATACTCTAAAACAATAATAAAATACTTAGGCCCGGTTTATTCATCTTCACATGAACTTGCTGGTAACTATCTGCAAGATAAATTTTCCTTTCTTTAATTCTATTGGTCGGCGGAAAAGGGGCCGACCAATGAGTTCACGGATTGCGTTTTCATCCGTTAGATTGCATACCTGACAGTTTATCAGAAAGTGAATAAACCGGCGCTAATTCAGATTAAAATAAAAACTAAAGAACATAATCAAACCACTGCAAGTTATTACGTTACTTATTTATTTATTCCTGATTTTTAGATGCCCCAAGACCTATACGGATCAGAAACGATGAGATGGATACCAAAATTTTCGTCTTTTCAGTCAGAATTAAAAAAAATCGAAACTTTATATCAGAGCTTTAGAGACTACCAGCAACACGTAATGGCAGAAAGTTCTGATGGGGCGTCATTGGAAGATAATATCTATGATATTAGGAATAATAAAAGCGGAGTTGAAAATTCTGATAAGAAGTCATTGGAAGATAATATCTATGATATTAAGAACAATAAAAGTGGAGCTCAAAATTCTGATAAGAAGTCATTGGAAGATAATATTTATGATATTAAGAACAATAAAAGCGGAGCTGAAAATTCTGATAAGGCGTCATTGGAAGATAATATCTATGATATTAAAAACAATAAAAGCGGAGCTGAAAATTCTGATAAGGCGTCATTGGAAGATAATATCTATGATATTAAAAACAATAAAAGCGGAGCTGAAAATTCTGATAGGGCGTCATTGGAAGATAATATCTATGATATTAAGAACAATAAAAGCGGAGCTGAAAAGACCGTTGGTCGCGAATATGAAAATGCTTATGAAGATTATAATGAAACTTTATATCGGAAGTTTGAAGACTACCAGCAACAAGAAATGACAGGAAGTTCTGATATAGTGAGATTGGAAGATATTATCTATGATATTACGAACAATGAAAACGGAGCTGAAAAGACCGCTGATCGCGTATATGAAATTGCTTATAAAGATTCTGATGGAATTCAAGAAAAACTCAACGAGCAGGTAATTTATGAGCTTTTTAATTATTCTCAAGACCCAAACAAATCAAAATTATTCTTGATTTGTTTGCGATTTCCTGTAGAAACAATTTAAAACAAATTTTCCAGAATATTGATTTCGACTGCAGACGCGAACAACAATCGCCCCAACAGCCCTTTTACAATTTATATAATTTGTTTGCTTTTACCGATCTTAAAGCTTATATTCTGCAACAATTCAGTCATTTAGTCAATCGACTCCAAAATAAAGGCAAGTAGAATTTATGGTCTGAAAATCTGTGAGTTTTTAGAAATTTTTGCAGGTGATTTTGTAGATAAATCAATAGCCAGTAGAAAAAAATACGAAAGTAGAATATCAGAAGCGATGAACAGACTGGTCTTAACAGTTCCAGCTAGACTGGAGAGGGAACTTTGGAGGTGTGATCCCGAAGTTTTTGTTGAAGGTATCCAATTTATTTATGGCGTTCTTCATTAACAGAATAAGAGCAAAAAAAACTTGAAGTATTTTGATTATTTTCTTTCTCGAAAAGGACATAAATATAATAGCCACATTATAAGGTATAGCTGAGGAATCTATTTGCTTTGTTTATATTTAAATTGTAAAAGTGCGGACGAAACTGCTACTTGGCCGTTCTGTGCCTATTCTGTAAATCGCCTTACATCACTGTAAATTTAAAAGCGCGTAAGTTTATATCGCGATGGATAATTGAAACTTACATTGAAAGCCTAAACTCGTATTCTGTAACGCCTGTGCTGGGACTCCGTGTCATGTAGAATTCTACATATCGACAGGATTCTATAGACTCGGCACTCTGTGCGGCGACAATATCGAAAAGATGCGATTATTTTGGTCGCCTTGTTTCTACATTCGGATTGGTATAGAAATCTATATGGCGCACGCGTATTAACAATTTCTATAATTGACATTTTTATTTTTTGAGGTTGTTGTTTATGTTTTGGTTTTGTCATTTGTGTTGTTTGTTTTGCGATGCGTGTGCTTCTAAATCGAAAGTGTTTTTAAAATTTAAATTTAAATTATCAATTACTCCATTTTGTTTGAAAGTTATTTAAATATGTTGCCAATCAACGCAGTGAATATCATAGCAGCAAGAGAAGAGGAAAGGCTAGAAGATATTCGAAACGAAAACATAGAAAGGCGTATGATGAGAGATGGAAGTGATCCTTTTTCAATTGAAGATATTCGGTTTAGAGAACTCTTCAGATTAAATAAAGACGTAGCTCAATATGTTTACAATGGAATTGGACCTAATATGGTACAGACAAATAATCCTGTTGGGATTCCCAATATACTCAAATTCTTTGGAGTTTTGAGATTCTTTGCCACAGGAAGCTATCAAAGGGTTGTTGGTCGCGGCTTTGATATATCCTTGTCCCAGCAGAGCATGTCTAGGGCCGTGGAAGAGGTTACTAGAACTATTATCAATACATTCTCAGAACAATGGATTCAGTTTCCCACAACACAGGCAGCAAAAAATGATATAAAACAGGGATTTATGGCTGAATTCAATTTTCCTGGGGTGATTGGTGCTATAGACTGCACGCATGTGGAAATCATAAGACCAGTTATTGAGGAGCATAATTATCTGAACAGAAAGGGATACCACTCTAAAAATATTCAGTTGGTAAGTTTTGCCTTTACAGTTTATTAGTGTTCAACCCGAGGTTCAACCAAATAAAGCTTTCTAGCAGCTTAATGAATATTAGCACATATTTATTTTTATTTTGTTGTCAATTTCCAATTTCTTCTTACAGATTTGTGATCATCATCTAAAAATTTTAAACATAAATAGCAGATATGCTGGAGCTACACATGACGCGTATATCTGGAGAAACTCAAGGGTGAGAGAAGAATTGGAACGGAGCACTTCCCAATGCTCAGATCTCACCCTCATTTTCGAAAATTTGATGGAGCTTGGAATTATAATACTTTATCAATGATATCGACAACTACTAGTTCATATAATATAACAAATAAACACAATTTAGAAGCAGAACCAAAAATAAATCTAAACAAAACAATAGCGTCATAACCTAGAAAAATAATTAAATAAAACTGTTCAGAAAATCCGCAGACTAGTTTCTTCCTTCTTCAAATGCATGAAATAAACAAGGAAAGAACTGCACGAGCCAATCCTCCATAATATTTTACAAAAATGACAAGTGGATGTTTTTAGGTCAGGTAATACGATTATTTAAAAAGATACCGAAGATAGCCGATCGTATGCGATAGCAGCACAGAGTGCAAATAAAAGCGACAATCGCTTTCAATGGTAGAAAGCGACAATAGAATTCGATATGTCGAATTCTACATGGCACGGAGTCCCACAACTGGTGTAAAGTACATAGTTACAGCGCTTTTTTTTTCATAGCGCTCCTAACTTCCCTAATATTTTTGTAATTTGACAATTTTTGAAGTTGAAATATTTTGGAATAAAGGTTATATCTTTACCGTCCATAGTCCTCCTGGTATAAATCAAATACAAAAGGCCTTTACGGAAACGCTGAACCGATCACAGGCTGTTTGTTTTCCACCTTCCTTTAATGAACACGATCGAAAACAGACAAATTACAGCAGCTGGATGATCGCGATAAGCCATTGTAATCGGATCAGCGTTTTTGTGGAGGCCTTTGGTGTTCCAAGACTATGGAAGAGTGTGCGGCTCCAGACAGAATTGGTTTATATAGCCATCAAGAAACCCACAATCGATGAAAAATAGAATAGAGGATAATCATACTCGAGTGATTGCCTATGATGATGATGATGAAAGGCCTAATCTGTAATAATTTCATAATTAACTAATATCCCGATCAAAACGTTTCTCTCTGCGATTTTGTGCAACAAAAGAAACTTTTTTGTTTCATAACGTCAAAAATGTAACAGTTTGTCTCCATTTCCCACGACGTGAATTTACACTAGGTGTAAATAGTATATTTCCTAACTAGTGCGGAAAGTGCCACTTTTCCGCACGCGATTGCAGTTTGCCGAACGACGCATAGCGGAGTTCGGCAAGCAATCAAGTGAGGAAAAGAGACTTTCCGCACGAGTTAGGAACACTATTTTTTCTACGAGATAGATAGAAGGAACGTATACCTCATTAATGTAAATTTTAACCCAATATTTGACAACATTTCTTTTGCAACACTTGGTATTGAAAATAAATAAAGTAATTTTTTCTTAATATAGGTTACTTTTATAAATTAAACTTATTTACTTATTTAATAATAAAAAATAAAAAAATCGAGAACTTTTAACAATAATTTGTACGTTTGATATACATACTATGAAATTTTCAAAATTTTAAGGCATAAAGTAACCATTAGTGTGTAACATGACAAGAAAAGTTAAGTTTAAACTGAAATAATTCAATAATTAACATTATTGGTTCAATAATTCTCAATGCTGATATTTGTTCAAGTGTATCAGCTTATAATTTAAAAAGTGACATCTGTCACTTTTTCTTTTTTCCGCACTAGTGCGGAAAAGTGAAACTTTCCAAACTAAAATGCGTGTGGAAAAGTGCATTTTTCCGCACGCTCGTAGAAAAAATATTTTTCCTACGAGCGTGCGCAAAGTAGTACTTTTCCGCACGCATTTCGGTTCTCAAAGTTGCACTTTTCCGCACTCAGTGCGGATACAGGCCTTATCCGCACTGAGTGCCGAAAAGTAAAAATAATTGTCAAGCAACAATAAGTACACCTGTCGACTTTGACACATGATGAAAAATTTTTCCTCTGTTCCTGTTCCAGCTAACATCTATACCTACAAACACCAAATTTAATTAACTTCAACACATTGTCAGATTTGTTTTCTATATATATGCATCTACAAACTATCTCATCAAATTTATAGCATTTTCCATTTGTCGAAACAGGGCAAAAAAATGTATCCTTATCCTTACATGTTACATGCTTTTAGAAAAAGATGCGGATGCACTCAGTGCGGCACTGATGACAAATGGAAATCGCCATTAAACGCTTTAAGATGAAGAGCTCTGACGATGATTTTCTGTTATATTTTTTTTTTGTTATGTAATTTTTTGATAAATGCATAGGTTCCCTTCAAGTTAATTAAAAATAATTAAACAAATTATCGTTTTTTTTTTAAATTTTTGTTGTTACCTACCTGATATGAAGCTCGTAGGAAAAATTTTGTTCCTAACACGTGCGCAAAGTGTCTTTTCCGCACGCAAACACGTATCCGAACTCCGCTTCGCGTCGTTCGTATAACTGTGTTTGCGTGCGGAAAAGTAACACTTTGCGCACTTGTTAGGAAAATAACTATTACAGCGCGATGTAAGTTACAGAATTCCTTTTTTTGTTACATCCCTACAGCTCTCAAAATTGCATCCCTTACAGTACGTTACACCGCATACAGAATAGTACCATTTTTTTATTAGATAATTTAGCGGATGTAATAATGTTTATGTCCGATTGACCAATAAAGTGCTATTTATAGAACAGTTTTGCGTCAATAAAGTAGCACTTTATTGTACTAGTAAAATAAAGTGCTACTTTATTTTACTAGTAAAATAAAGTGCTACTTTATTGCCTACCGGGACTGCCTGACAAGGTGAAACAGGTCCTGACAACCTGCCAAGGTTAAACAAGTCCTGACAACTTGCCAAGGTGAAACAGGTATACCTATGCGAATTTCACTTTTTTCATTAAATTTTTTCAATTTTCAACAAAAACCAGTCGTAATCGTACATAAAATCATGTATATAACGCTTACATAAACAGGCTTTATTGACTCATTATTTAATAGCCTCGCTCGCAAGCTCGCTCGGCCATAAAATTATTCGTACAATAAAGCCTTACTTTATGTACTTGTTATATAAATAGCTATTGCTAATTTAAACACATTGCACACGGCAGTAATATCCGACTCTGAATTAGAACAAATTATTGTTAAATTTGACTGTTCCATATGGCGAAAGTAAAATTGCAAATTTTGGGAATTTGACATATTATGTTATCAAATAGCCGGGCTACAAGTAAATTTCTCTAAATACAAAATAATCTTTGCCATTCATTTCCCAATCTTTCGAGAAGACCTATTTGAAATATTTCGCCTAATTCCTGTTCCAATGTACGATTTTCACCTTACCTAATAATTGGCACTGACCTACTGTTAGGAACCATTCCTAAGCTTCAGCTAATTGTTGTTGACACTTTTTTGTAATAAACACTCGAAAATTTCAATCAAAATTACATTTTATTTGCACTCCGACTTTTTA